AGATACATAGACCATTTTTTAGTGTACACAGAATGACTGGATTCGCGCTATATTTGTGTATGGTATTTTCAAATGCAAATTCAAATTGCCGAATATGTAAATCAGCGATTGACATAATTTATTTTATTGTAGTGGAATGGCGAGGTTGTGGATAAGAGCATCCCAAAACTGTCAACGGATTACAAGTTATTGACATACACTTCCATAGACGGCAGATTCGTACTTTTCCACACCGAATATCTGTGGTGGATAGAAGTTTTAACGCGCACACTCCACGTCTATTTGCACCAGGATTCACCACTTCACGGTAACATATGTGGAATGTTTGGCAACGCAGATGGCTCTCCGTTCAACGATATGGTTCTTCCTGACGGCACAAGCACTGAAGATCAAAACGTGTTTGGCTACGCATGGGAATGTGAAAACAGGTAATGATCGTGGCCGATATACGACTACTGTTCACTCGTTCCGACATTCTTGGGGTATTTTAGTCAGTTTATTATGTCATATAATTGTAAAATGATTTTTTTTATTTTGAAGGATTTGGGATGCCACGTGCCTAATTTGCATATATATGCAAAACAATCACGGGTAAACACAAACCACCACACGTTCGCTTAAATGCGCTCCTTTACGAGCGTTATGACACGCACCAAACACATCATCAACTGTTTCCCGACAATTTAAATACTGTGTTATTGAATACATTTTGTTTGAATAATTTATCATATAAAAATGTATACCATTGAATTAAATAAATTCAACGGCAATTGCATCGTGATCTTCTTTTTATATTCAACATGTCCGAGTCCTCCAATATTAGTCTCATGTTGAGGTTGGTTTGACACAACTTTACTAATTGTAAAGAACTCCAAGCGCACACAGCAAACGAGTCAGCACTGGCGTTGTTTGTTTTATTTTGGTGTTGTGATAAAGATAACGTGACTTTTGTAAGTTCATTTTCACTGCATCTTAAACTGAATCCGCAATGTTGTAACTGTTTGTGTGCCTTGAGTCTTTGAACACCCAACCTGATCATTATCAATAGTTGAGGAACAATTGTGACAGTTCTTCAATTCCTAACACTCCAGTTAGCCTCCAAAGCGTGGGCAGCTGTGGAACATACAATTTAAATATACTAGTCGTGAATAATGCCATGGTTGTTGATGTCCACAGGTATTACTATATCATTCATACATTATTTTGTAATTCTTATTTATCATTTTATCTGGACTAGATTCTAGGCACAAGCAACAATTTATAGAATAAAGCCATGGTTGTTGATATTTGCAGATTATACTATGTTATTTGTAACTCATATTTATCATTCTATCAACAGTTGTTACTATAAAGAACTACTGGATGACTTGGGGAGATTAAAATGAACTCATATCCGATCCAATTATAGACAGTTCATTGGACTCTACACTAGAGATTTGGCTTGTAAATGATTGACTTTTATCGATGGTCACATATAAATATAGTTGTGAGTTCTACTGAATTCGCTTATGTACTGTGTAATATTATATTACTATTTTTGCAACAAAATTGCAATTTTGTAGTAAATGTAAAAAGAGCTATGTGCAGTTTATGAGAAATTCGGAAGACGTTATTTTAAAGGTATGTGGCGGCCTTGAACAAAAATAATGTCTGATTTGCTGATTAGATCAACTGATTTTATTGTTTTTTATTGTAATCACAATAATCAATGTAATGTTCAACATATACAAAGTGGAAATGCGGTTTCAACATTTTATGCTTCGGGTAGATTTGGAAATAAATTGTATTGCAAATGATAGCAGACTCGTAATTTTTGTTGAGATTATGTGTGGGTATATGTAAATTTAGTAACACCCCAGCGAACTTGAATGCGATCTTAGTCCAATCATCAAATTATCTAGATAGGGCTAAATGCAGAGGAGTATATATTTTAGTTCACAGTGAATGAATGAATTAATGAATGGACAGATCTAGACCAAACGTATTGCTCCTATCGACGTGTTTGCATCATTCCAACATTCTTTGAAAGATTTTGACTCAGTCTGTTTTCGAGACTTCAAAACTAGCTGGCATTCCTTATAAATGAGATATTGTGTAGCTGCATCATATGGGATGAGTACTTTTTGTCCGTAACTTAGCTGCGTGTATGTGTTGTGCTATAATATGAGGTTATTACGAAGATATGCACGAAAACAGTAAAGCGGGAGTATCGAACGACACGCAGCGACACTTTGCGGTATCCTCGTAATAACCTTATTATTATACATCTGTTCTTTTCAAGGATACACCCTGGGAATGACGAAATCCAAAATGTTTAGAACAAAATCAGCGAGCGTTCCGGTTATTAGAGAACGCTTACGTGCGTAATCATTCCATATTTGGAATTCGCATTTCCTAATATGGTAGGATGAAAATACCCCGTAAAATACCGCAACATTACGGCACGCAGTTGGGTTTACTTTTACTAACGTTTCCTATATAACTCCTATAGGAATCCCATAGGACAAATTCCTGTAGGATTCATATAATATTTTGACACATGTTTTCCTAAAGGATTTCTGTAAAACAAATTCCTGTAGGAATCCTCTAGGATTTTGTGTCAACATTTTATAGGAATCCCACAGGAATTTGTCCTATGGGACAGTTCATTATAAATCACAGTCTAATGTATTTGTCGATCAATATAGAATATCAAAAAGACTAAAAATACATGTCTTCATCCACATTGCACCTTTAGTTTTCTGTTAATACAAATACAATATAAGATGTATGTAAGGAAAATAACAAATACAATAAAAAATATTGAAAAAAATATGCTGTACAATACAACTGATTGTAATGAAATTGACTAAAGTCCAATTTGAAAAAAATCTTGACATCTTATGTATGTAATATTTGAACATTTTTGTTGGGGTGTGATATCATTCTAGGTAACCTACTCTACATATGCAAACATGTAGAAATATACAGTCTTATAGCACTGGCAGTTTAAAGTCCTATATGAATTGTATAGTCCTATATGACTGATGATCTTACACACCAGTCCGATAGGACTGCCAATATACAAGTCCTTTTGGGACTCGTTGAGTCATAAACCAATTAACATAAAATCCTATAGGACTATACATATCCATATACATATAGAATTTTATTAAAAGTCCTATAGGATATTTAAAAATCCTTTTAAAATCGTTTGTAAAGGTATTGTCATCTGTATGAACAATAAAACTATGATCCGTCAGTTTCGGAATTAATATTACTAGTCACTGAATATTTGCTTGTAGGGTGAATTTTAATTGTCGTCAAAATGGTATTTTTGAAATTACACCTCGTCCAATATAAATACAACCAAACTGAAGGTGATCTTGCTAAATAATGCGTGATCCTAATTCTGTATAATATCTAAAATTCACACATATACTGTAAAGAAAAAACGTCAGTATACAAACCTGGCTCTCAATAATTTATACTAAGCTTATTTTAAAATATATACACACTATTGGCAATATATTTTTCAAAACAACAGCTTGACTATACGAGGCATCATAATTTTCGTTAAAAAATGTAATGAAACTGCGAATTAATATTTGCGATTGAAAATAACATTATTAATTTCATCTACAACTCTGAACGTTAATATAAAGAAGGTTGTCAGATACACCATACTACCAATCCTTCTAGTAACTATGGTGAGTTTCACATTCGTGTTATTAATGGTGACTGTCGCTGCTGTGACAGTTAATGGAAATGCCATAGTCAGAAGCCACAGAGAGGTATTGCTGTCTTTTTATTTCTAATTTATAAAACGACCTATAAATATCAGAAACGACTAAGCCATTGTACATAGGTCACGTTATTTCGTCGGTGTTCGATTGCGTCTGTATATATATGTACAACATATGTACATTGCACATGTAATTTAGTATGAAGATAAAATATACAGTTTATGTTACATTATGATTTGTTGGTTAGTCAGTGTTAGTCAGTTAGATTTTACAAAATCGCACGTTCGTTTTTATAGAGTACGTATTTTTTAAAGTATTATTTTTATTACTACATTCACACACATTCAACAATAAAAGCAAGATTATATATGTATTGTATTTCACATACATAACAGTTCCATAACAGTAAACACGTTCAACGAGAATGTACATCCCCGAAGTTGCCACAAATATAATTTTTACTGTTGGAACTACTGATCAAATTAGAACACCCCTTTTATTTATAACAACCAGTTATGTTCACTCACTTATTTTATTTTCGACCACGATCAAATTCGATAGTTTTGTTTTATATAAACGAACATCATTAAGTCATTGTTTTGTGTTGTTTAAACACAGCCATTGTTTAAAAAAATTGACAATTAAAATTATTATTTCTTTCATTCTCAAAGGTTAAAGAAAAACGTTCCCCTAGCGTCAGCTGGGTGGCCCTCTATCGGCTTATGACTGGAAATTGGCCGGACGGTAAGTTTTACAATCGCCAGACTGTTATTCACTGTATATCTATAATTTATATATTAGTGGTTCTGGTCAACTGTAATGGTTCTGGCCATGGTGACATATGTATAGCTTTAATCATCACTGAAAGCATGGTTTGGATTTCGCCAATTATTCAGGAAAGTAGAAATACACATGAAGTAAATCAGGTGAATATTCAGAGGTTATTGCCATGTTTCTGTTGGTGCGATAATTGTTGTGTGGGCTACATCGCTATATTTGGAAAGGTTCCGGCTAAACTTTATTTTTTGAAAACCCTCATCAAAATCTAATATTTTGTTAAGGTAATACGTGCACAATCTGTAAATACAAACACAACATGTTTTCTAAAGGATTCAAAGATCTTAAATATATATATTTGTCTGCTTATAAGCTAGTTATAAACGACTGTCTCTATATGCATTGAATTTATATATAGACAAATATATTTCCATCAATGCAATGTTCAAGAGTTGGTGTATTAGTGAACAAAATATCCTGGCATATATATGTCTCAAAAAAATCATATATGACATATATGCCTATATGCAGGTCATGATAGACCCTATATCACATTATTCAAATATCTCATATCTCAGACATATTGATCTTGCTGTAAAATATTTCCTATTGAGAAATTGTGACTCTGCAAACCCCTTGTCCATACCAGGTGTCCATATACTCGTATGGGTAGACTCTCTATAACATATCAGCTTCCGTCTTACTCTCTGAGAGGACTATTATCTGGAATACCTCATTTATTTTGCCTTTCATTACCTTGTCAAGAGAAGGCAATAGAAACTGGAAAAAAATGAGTTCCAGCCTTATAATACAGTCACTGTGGGCGACACCGTGATATTTTCCAACGACATGATAAAGGCATCAAACCAAGTCTCAATTAAGTAGTTTCACGCACGCATGACATATGTGGTTGTGTGTTTGAAATATTCTTTGGTCACCCTCCTGCTTTTTGGGTTTGTAATTACTCATTCTGCTTATATTTGTGTGTCTGTTGGCGTTGTTGTAGAGATGGACGCTGAATTCTGGGTTAGCTTAAAAGCCAATAACCACAATTGTATGACTCATGCATAATATTTGCATTGATATACATAATTGAATATTCATGTTAATCACGCTTCACCAAACTGTTAAGCTCTCACATGACAACCAACAACAATGATCGATGGCCAGGAATCGAAAAAAGCAATGAAAAAGCGGTCTCATAAATGGGGGTATATAAATACAAAAATAACAAAACATAAATAACATACTGCTTACATTCGTCACGTTGATTGTATTGGAATTCAAAGTGAGCAGATTAGCTGGCTCACATACAACCTTCTATAAAGAACTGAAGAGGTTTTTGCCACATACATCAACCTAATTACAAAGTTCATTTCAATATTTATTTCTTTTTAATTCTTACTTGTGGTCTGGTAGGTTGATTTACAACACAGTCATGTAATGTAATAATAATTCTGTGTAATAAATCTTTGTTTTGTAATATACATAGGCCTTCATTTAAATACTTGAAAACCATGGAAGCTTGTTTAAAATATTTCCAGCACAGACCAGAGTATGTAATAATAACAAAGTAATACTCGAAAACAAGTACAGCTATATTATATTAGTTTCAAGCCCATTGAGAGTTTTCAGTTATTGGCAAACACAATAATGTAAATCACAGCAAAAACTTTTTTATATAGCATTTTCTACTGCGCTCAATAGGGGATATTACAGTAAATACCACACCGACTCAAAGTTTGTTACAGTTCCCTCAGGTATACACTTAAAATACTTCAACGAGTATGTCTTAATCATAAGACTCGTGGGTGATAGCCCCTCTAACAATATTGGTACAGTCCACATATGGGACCGTAGTACACCAACACTTAAATATGTAC